CATCTGCGCCACAGCCCAGGGTGCCGGACCCGCCGGCCGGGGAGCCAGGCAGGGAGCAATGTCCGGGCGTGGCAGCTGCCGCCGCGGCAGATGCCGCGCCCATCTCCCGCACATAGCGGACCAGGCTGGCGCGCCCGTCCAGCGGGGCCATATCAGGCAGGCCTGGGTAGCCGCTGCCGCGCGTGGGCAATTGACATGGGGCCGCCATGCCTGCGTCGGGCCCGCAAGAAAACTGCTCCTGATGCTCTTGCCGCTGATGGTGCTGCTGCTGCTGCTGCTGCTGCTGCTGCTGCTGCTGCTGCTGCTGCTGCTGCTGCTGCCACTCATGCGCAGGACCGGCCAGGCCCCAGGCAATTGCGTCAGACGCTGATATGCCTGGTGGCGCCCGGCATTCGCCTGCCCCGTCGATCCGCGTCTGCAAGCACCCTGAATCCTCTAGCCCCTGCTCTGTGTAAGCAAAGCCGTGATGAGGCCCGCGCTGCCACTGGTGCTGTGGTTGAGGCAGCTGCTGGTGCTGTTGGACAAGTGCGTGTGCTTCATGTTGGCGCAGCTCCTCCCACTCATACGCCTCGAGAGGCTCAAGGGGCTCCAGAGGCTCGAGTTCCTCATGCTCTTGCTGCTGCTGGTTCTGCTGCTGCTGGTGCTGCTGCTGCTGCTGCTGCTGCTGCACCATGCGGTAGCTGTAGTTGCCGCTGCCAGTCAAGGTGGCAGGCAGGCCAGCGGCCCACTCTCCTTGGTCGCCGGCTGCTATCACAACACCTGAGCCACTGCTCCCATCGCTACCAGAGCTTCCGGGTTGCTGCATCGCCAACAGATGCTGCACCTCACTGGCTCCAGCCAGCTGGCAGTGTTGGCCCTTGCCATGCTGCAGTTGCCAGCTCGTGTTGTGCAGATGCTGCTGTGGTTGATGCAGCTGGTGCTGGTGCTGGTGCTGGTTCTGGTTCTGGTGCTGCTGCTGCTGCTGCTGCTGCTGCTCGTCACTGTCACCACATCCATCCATCAAAAGGCGCTGCCACTCGCCTGCAATCCCTGCATTGTTTCCGGGCTCCGCGTCTGTCACGTTGTGCTGTGGAAGAAGGTCGGCGGGCGCTCCAGTCACAGGAACGACAGCCATGGACGTGTGGTCGCGGGCGTCTGGCTGCAGACCGGCGGCTGCGGAAGTGGCGGCGCTGGCGTTGGGGCTGCCGGAAGCAGCGCAAGCCTCAGAAAGGAACAGGTGGCGGCCGTGCAAACGCTGCGGATGGGTACAAGGCGGGGGTTTGGGGTGATCTCAGCTCAGTTGAATGCACGCAACGTGCACGTTCAGCAGCGTCGCCTCTTTGCCAAGCGCTCATTCAGCGGTCGGACACACAAGCCCCACCTGCCGCGCCTGATGCTCGTGCGCGTCTGGTTGGGCCCCGCACGCTGCGGAGCCGGCTGGGTTGGGGCCCAGGGTTGCGCAGTAGCCCGCGCTGGTGAGCTGCGCCATGAGCCCCTGCAGGTCACCGCTGCCCATGCTGGCCGCCGGGCTCATGCGCGCCGCGGCACCGTCATCGCAGACGATGGCTCCACCGACGTTCAATTGGCCCGTATGCCATTGCTGCATGCCGCACGTCGCAGCGGCATCGACAGCGGGATGCTGGCCTTGCCCTTCTGCCGTGCCAGCTTGCTGCGCATTTGCTGAGCAGTGCAGACCTGGATGAGGAGTCTCTGGCCGAGGCACGGGTCCATCAGCGCCGCAATCGCCGACTCCATATACGGCGGCCACAGCAGCACAAAGTACATGCTGCTGCTGCTGATGCTGCTGCTGCTGCTGCTGCTGCTGCTGCTGCATCGACATGGGGTCCCCGATGTGGTGGTGGTCTCCAGATGCGCCGGCAGCCGCGCTGGTCACTGCACATGCGTCGTGGGCTTCATTAGACAAGGGACCCTCCCCTGTCCCTGCCGCGGCAAGTTCCAGCGCAATCGTGCATTCGTGCAGCCAGCTGCCGCTGCTCGACGTACGCCGCACCGCAACCGACTGCAGGAGCGTGCCCCCGGCTGCCAGCAGTGGCTCTGAGGCAATGACCTGGGTGCTGTCATCATGGTCCCAGGCCTGAGGCAGCGGCCATTCGCTGTCGTGATGCTGCTGGTGCTGCTGCATCTGCAAGGAGCACTTTTGCCCCCGCTTGACCTCAACAGGCCGCGCCGCCGGCAGGTGTTTCGCTGCACATGCGGCCGCGAGCTGTGCAGTCGCCTGCAGTGGGGAGGCAGGGGCGTACTGATCAATAAGCTGGTTGCCGTTCTGCTACAGATGGAAGACGTTTTCGCGGCACGTGCGCAGCTGTCTGTTTCCCTCGTGGCCCTTCACACGCAGTTGACCGCGGGCTATCATTGCCAGTTGCCTGATCGGCAGTGATGTATGGTCAAGCTGCACAGCTTGCGTCTTCGTATGCCTCCCAACGAATCCGTCGTTGCCTCACCCTTCTCCTAACTCCACTCAACGGCAACGTTCCAGTGACAGCGGCTTTGCGTATTACTAGGGAACGCAGATGGAAGAAAGAGAATATCGAAGAAAATGTAGCCGCCAGCAACAGCCCGGTGTGCCACACGACCAGCACACGTCGCGCAAATATTTCTTACGGTTTTCTGGCGTGTTTGACGGGGCAGAAGATTGTGCCGCACCAGACAACAAATAACCATGATTTACATCAAAATCTGCTAACAACCAATGAGCGTCTCCAAAGCAGGCTGTGCACCAGACGTGGACGAAAACCGGAACCGATACCTCACATGAGACGGCATCACTGGGCCAAGGGGTGAACGCTGATCATGCAGGTGCGCCGCGGCGTGGTAGCGGCTTTTGAGCAACCAGTTCAGTGGTGATACGGAGATCCCTCCAAAATTGTCCACCTGAGAGTGTATTGCCACCGGAGGCTGAGGTGCACGACAAACATCATCAACATGGCAGTTCTCCCGACCCCTGCAACTCCCCCCCCCAAAAAAACCTCCAGAGCAAAGGTCACAGTCTCACCCCCTATATAGCTGCTCCAGTAATATCACCAGTGCCACGCTGTGGTTCAAAACCAGCCTGGCCAGTGGGGGTGGGGTGTGGTGTGGTGTGGTGTGGTGGGGTG